CAAGAGAACAGCCTTGGGACAATATAGAATAAGTAGGTTTTTTAAAAAAAGACCAAAAAGCAAAAAACCCAAAGCAGTTGCTTCAGCCTGAGCGTGGCTCTCGGATCCAAATCTGCAAGTCTCCTGTGTAACCTGCGTCACTGCCCACCCATCCCCCTTGGATTTCCTCATGTTGGAGCGCCTGGACCCTGTGGTCTGGGCACCCAGGGCCTGCCCATGTCACCTGTACCTCCTTCAGGCTCAGCATGGGGATGGATGGGGCTCTGCACGTGGGGACCTCTGCCTGCCATCTCACTTGGCTCTCAGGACACCAGCATGCCTGGTCTCCAGCCTCCTCTCTCTTGGCAGATCGCCTCCTGGACTTCTTCCCCTAGACCCAGTGGACCTAGCACAATTCCTGTAAGTGCCCCCACCCCCCAGTGTCCCCCAGCCCCAAACCTGGGTTTGAGCCAAGGCTCCTCCCCCCTCCCTCCTCCCTCCTCGCTCTGCAAATCCACCTGGCTATGTCATAGCTCCTGGGCTGCAGAGAACAAATTGGGACCTTGACCTGGAAAACTGTATGGAAGAGGCAAGATAGCACAGCTCCATGCTCAAAAGGTGTAAGGACCAAACCGAACCAAACCAGACCAAAACTTGGCAGGAAGTTGAGGAAATAGACTACCTGGCTTGGCCAAGTGGGAGTGTGCATGGTTTGATAAAAATATAGTGAATGGTTAAATTTGTTACAGAAAAGATACATTGCTATGAGCCCCCTCCAGTAGCCCCCTGCTTCTAACACACCTATCCCATCATCCTTGCCATTGTTTGAAACAGTTCTAGAAGTCCTCTTTCCTGAGTATCTTCAGCTGTGGTGTCATGACTGCTTCTGTGTCCTGAATTAATTTAAAACGTTGATCTTTCATAGTCATTTTAACTTTGGGGAAGAGCCAGAAGTCACCCAGTGCCATGTCCAGTGAGTACAGTAGATGAGGACAGGCCATGACGTTTTTATGAGCCCGCTTTTCCACGAGATGGCCCTCAGCAGCAGCACTCATTTTTTATCTCACCTCCTGACACTCAGGAAAGGACTTCTAGAACAGCTTCAGAAAGTCACAATGGGATACATGTGTTTGAAGCAAGGGGCGCCTTGAGGGGGCTTCATGGCAGTGTGTCTTTTAGTATACTACATTATTTAAACATGCACCGTGTTGTCTGATTACACTGCCTAGAATGGCTTCCTTCCCTGTCAGGGCTGTACCTACCCTCTCCTGGCTCTCCCCACCTTGCCAGTGTTACTTTCCAGGCACTTGGACACTGAGCGTTCAGTGCTAAGCACACCACTCTGAGTTGTTTGGGTTGTTCAGAACAATATTTTAGAAAATGCACTCTTACAGGGCTGGCAAGATAGCTCAGTGGTCTGGTCTAAAGCTCCAGCTTAGGCAAAGCTCATGTACTGCTGTTTGATTCCTGGCACCATATGCTGGGCCAGCCACACACACACACACACACACACACACACACACACACACACAAATGTGCTTTCTCCTGGACTACACCCCTTCAGAGGAAGGAGTGTGCTCTTCTAGCAGCAGCCAAAATTAGGTTCAGTCCCTCTGACTTCTGATGGAAACAAGAACCATAACAGCATTCAATGCAGGAAGAGCATGTCTTTCCCTCTTTGCAGAGCTGAGATCGGAATGTAATGTATGTCCTGTGCATGTCCAAAAGGACCATGTAGCTCAGGTTGCCTGAGGACCTATCAAGGTCAGCAGACTGGCAAAGCCCAGGTTTATAGAGGAAATGGCACCACACAGAACAAGGACAGTGGGAAAGGCTCGTGCACAACCACAACCCCCAAGGTAAAGCAGAAGAAAGACAACAAAAATTAGCCTGGAATGGAAAGCCCAAACTCACCAGGTAGGAAAGGAAAATGACAAGACACATGTGAAGATACACTTGAGAAGATGCAAGAATGGAGGGATCTTCTATACAGCTTTCATTAACAACTACTAATGGGGGGTGGTGGCAAAGGAGTGCTTTGCTTTTTTTCTGCCACTGCAGCACAAACCAGGCCTTAGTCCAGTGGTGGAGCAAGTAGATGCTCTATAATTGGTTGGTGAGTGAATAAATGTAAATGGTACTTATCTGGAAGCAACCAGGATTATGTGCACAGTGGGCCAGGAGGGAGGTCACAGGAGCGAAACACTACCACACTAGGCATCAGACACATCACCAGCATCATTAACTGGGGACTGAACCTACGGCCTTTACACCGTATATCACTGTATATCCCTGTAATATCCCTGTATTTCTCATGAGACAAGGTCTCAATAAGGTGCCTAGGCTGACCTCAAACTTGGATTTTTCTACTCTGTCTCCCAGTGAGAAAGAAATCTTAAGTGGCAGAGAATCTGAACAGGAATTAGTGCTACACTACCCATGACCTCAGGCCGAGCTGCCCTGGGTTATTCAGCTGCCCTAAAGCCTTAAGTGGAAATGCTTTGTACAGGGCTCTGATGCTCAGTGCCACCAGAGCAGCACAGCGCAGGGCAAGACTGCCACCTCTCTCAGGACAGGGGACCAACACCATTTACTTATTTATTTTTGTGGTATGGGGATTGAACTCAGGACCTTGCGCTTGCCAGCTAGTACTTATTCTACTGAGCTATCTCCCTGGCCCCCAACAGCCTTTAGCCACACCCATTCTAGTCA